GCTTGCCTTCCCACATCCCAACCCTCAGGGATCTTTCTGCTCTGCACTTGAGACCTCCTCTTCACCCTGCCCTTTTCTACATTTCACTGGTTCCTACCATGATTGACAGTTCTCAATCATTACAACAGACTCATTAAAAACAACCATTTATTGAGTGTCCACCATGTGCTGGGCATTGAGCTTGGTGCTCTACATATATTACTTCATTTTCTGTTCATGAGAGACCTAAACTTAGCTATTATTATTCTCATTTTAAACATGAGAAAGTTAAAACTCAGAGAAGTACAGTGACTTGCCCAAGGTCATCAGCTAGTTAGTGAAGAAGATGGGAGTAAAACTCTGGACTGTTTAGTTCCAAAACCTGCATCTTAAACCTTGACACCATATTTCCTCTTGGCTACTGTGATGTTTGTTTATCCATGTTCATTTGTGTAAGTGTGTATATACATGTATCCTCTTCTCTTTGTGTCCAATTACTTCATGAATTGGAAGAGAGATACTTTGTCACACATTTCCTAAGCCCTCTTCAGTATCAGATATAGAGAAGAGCCACAGAACACTAATGAAGACAGAGCCACCTTGGACAAACAAGTTCAACCTCTTTATGTTCCCAGTGAGATCAATCTAGGCCAGAGAAGTGATGCAATATGCTCAAGACCACACAGCACACTGAAGGACTGGGCTGGGACCTGAACCTGAGCCTTGGTGCTCAGCCAAAAATGTATTGGGGGGGTGGGGGGGGGAGAAGAAGAAAGAGGAGGAGAGAGAAGAGGACAAGAACAAAGAACAGGAAGGAGAAGAAGAACAAGGAGGGGAAGAAAGGAGAGGAAAAAGAGAAGAGAAGGAGAAGCAGGAGAAGTGGAAGAAAGAGAAGGAAGGAGGAGAAGGGGAAGGAGAGGGGAGGAGAAGTGAAGCAAATGTAACTCTTAGGCCACACCCAATGTAAATAGTCTCCATTCCACTGAGTGGTATAAACTTAATCTTGCTCAATTCTGGGTATCTTGTTTCACTTTCCCTGCTCAGATGACCTGCTCTCTCACCTCCTGGGATGTGCAGAAAGAGTCATGGTCCAGGGGGCCTGCACACCTTCTCGGACATCTAGGTTCACAGCTTTCTTAGGTTTAACCCAGGGTTGAGACCATAAGTTCTTCTCTCTGATCCCTTAAGATTACCTGAGGTTTCTGTATTCTTTTCTCAGGATCACACACCAGTATGTACTCACTTTATAGCTTCCTGCATCTGACCTTCTGTATTACTTGGGATGCGAATTTATCTAGTGTAACACAGGCCAAACTGTGTCCCATATAAGACAGAGTGATGCTGAAGCTAAAGCTCCAATAATTTGGCCACCTGGTACGAAGAACTGATTCACTGGAAAAGACCCTGGGTAAGATTGAAGACAGGAGAAGAAGGGGATCACAGAGGATGAGATGGTTGGACGGCATCACTGGCTCAATGGACATGAGTTTGAGCAAGCTCTGGAAGTTGGTGATGGACAGGGAGGCCTGGCATGCTGCAGTCCACGGGGTCACAAACAGTTGGACACGACTGAGCAACTGAACTGATACAAGATAGAAGTTGATTTCTCTCACTAACCAGTCGAGGGTAGGAAGTGCAGTTGATATGGAGTCCCCTGGTGTCAGAGATCTTAGCTCCTTCCATTTTATTGCTCTGATATCCTTCTCACATGGCTTTCATTTTATGGTCTAAGACGGCCACTCCAGCTTCTGCAGCATGTCAAACTCCAGCTGGCAGGAGTAGAAGAGGAGTGATGATAGAAGGTCCCTTTTTTGTTTAAATACATAACGCAGAAGTTGCACACACCATTGGGTTCACATGTCCTTTGTCAGTACCTAATCATGTGGCCACATCTAATTGCAAAGGACACTGGGAAATGTAGTCTTCAGCTGAGTGACCATCTGCAGCTACAGAAGGGGAAGTCTGATAATTGCCTGATGACTAAATATCTTTGCTACACTTCCCTTCTCCCCACTTCCCAGATAATCTTTATCTCATTTCCTACAGAGGAAAACCAATTTTGATTCACCTATTCTTCCCACTCTGTTAGTTACAGCATAAATTGCATATGCTCAAATTCTTCAGGGCTTTGACTAAATTTCTATAATTTTTCCAAACCAAAAGCTTGGGACTTTGAGACTCAAAAAAGAATTTCTTCCTTTTCTGCCTTACTACCCCCTGTCTAAGGTGATAGAGGCCACTAACAAACAGGGGAAAGGAAAGACAAAGTGTAAAAGAAATGCAAGTGATGTCTTCAGCATGACAAAATGCTTACAGCGACAGATACAACCCAGACATCTCGCTTTCCTGACAGTTCTTCTGGTGGCTTCTCTCGACCTTAGATTCTTAGTCTTGGCTTAAATATTAACTCCTTAAAGAGTGTTCTCTGCCTAGCTTATTTGTTTCCTTCATAACAGACACCATGATATGTAAGTTATAAATATACACACTTTATTTGGCTTGTGAATGACATGAAGGAGGGATCATGTCTGTCTTCTCATCTGTGTATCTTCAATACCTGGCACAATGCCCAACACACAATAGATGCTCAACAAATAGATTGAATGATGAATTTGCATACCACGGCTTCATGAGGTGCAAACAATGTTCAAATCTTTTCTCAGGCAACTAAGTGGCTGGGAGTGGCTATAACTGTATTTACACTTAGCGTCTCAGGAAGAACTATGTTTCTTTGACTCTAGAAGTCAATGTACCAACATGAGTGGAGTTTTTCTCAGTGGATGCCAAGGGGAGGCATGCTGGAGAGCCGGCTGAGGCGGGGCGGCGGGGGTGGGGACTGCTACATCTTGAGAAATACCAGTCATAGACCTCCCCATTCACCCCCAACCAATATCAAGATGCTCCCACCCATCCAGGACTTAAATCAATCCAGGAAAAAACGGAAGACAGGGAAAGTTTGACTCACTCAATTTCATTCAAATCTGAAATAGCTTTTTTTTGCCTAGATTTGATTGAAGTTTGCATTTTTTGGCATCAGGGAAAATAGGAGCTCAGGAGAAGCAAAATCCTTACAGAAAACGGAGTGTTACATTTTTTTGCATGTCTGAGTACATGGCTGAGAGGTGTGTTTTGGCCACATTAAAATGATGCCATTCTGGAATCACAGATGGATGAACTTACGAAAACTTGTAATCACAGAGTGAAAGTCACTCAGTCTTAGAATCACAGAAGGTTAGAATCATAAACTCTATTCAGAAAGTATGTTAGAGATTGTCTTAACTTGGATTCCCCTGAGACCAGAACCTGAGACAAGGATTTGAGTGCCAAGTAGCCCAGGAAGCAAGGGGGAAATTTGGGAGACTGAAACAAAGAAGGGAGGAAAAGCGATAAAAAAAAAAGTGACTGAGCCAGTTTCCAACATGGGTTAAAGGTGCCCTATCTCACGTCTGACCTTCTCAGCAGCCAAGGAAAGTCAACTCCAGTGAATAAGAGGCTGAGACAATAATCTACTCATTCAACCCCCCACCTGCATGATAGAGGGCTGCCTCTGGAAAGGGTCAGTTGATCCCAAGTCCTGGCTGGGAGTTCCCAAGGCTTCAGAGAGGCCAAATGACTGACAGGTACTTGAGGTGGGATACCATCAGTTTGCTGGGAAGTTACCACCACAGCTCTAGCCAAAGTCAGCAGTGTGGGATGCCAATAATAACCAGGGATTCAGTTTTACCCCAGAACAAGAATTCCCTTCTAAAGTCTAGACTGAGAGTCTGCACACTACACCAGTCTAGGGGATGCATTTTTTCATTTTATTGTTCGGTCGCTAAGTCGTGTCCGACTATTTGTGACCCTATGGACTGCACCACGCCAGGCTTCCCTGTCCTTCTCTATCTCTCAGAGTTTGCTCAAACTCATGTCCATTCATTTGGTGATGCTATCCAACCATCTTATCCTCTGTCATCCTCTTCTTCTCCTGCCCTCAATCTTTCCCAGTGTTAGGGTGCTTTCCCATGAGTCAGTAGGCTCTTCCCATCAGCTGGCCAAAATATTGGAGCTTCAGCTTCAGCATCAGTCCTTCTGATGAATATTCAGGGTTGATTTCCTTTATGATTGACTGGTTTAATCTCCTTGCTGTCTGAGGGACTCTCAAGAGTCTTCTCCAGCACCACAATTCAAAAGCATCAATTCTTTGGTGCTCAGCTTTCTTGATGGTCCAACTCTCCCATCCATACATGACTACTGGGAAAAACCATTAGCTTTAACTATACAGACCTTTGCTGGCAAGTGATGTCTCTGCTTTTTAATAAATACACTGTCTAGGTTTGTCATAGCTTTCCTTCCAAGGAGCAAGCATCTTTTAATTTCATGGCTGCAGTCACTGTCCACAGTGATTTTGGAGCCTAAGAAAATAAAATCTGTCACTTTTCACCTTCTATTTGCCATGAAGTGATGGGACTGGATGACAGGATCTTAGTTTTTTGAATGTTGAGTGTTAAGCCAGCTTTTTCACTCTCCTTTTTCACCCTTATCAAAGGATCCTTATCAAAAGGATCTTTAGTTCCTCTTCACTTTTTGCCATTAGGGTGATATCATCTGCATATATGAAGTTGTTGATATTTCCCCCAGCAATCTTGATTCCAGCTTGCGATTTATCCAGTCTAACATTTCCCATGATGTACTCTGCATAGAAGTTAAGTAAGCAGGGTGACAAATATAGAGCCTTGATGTAATCCTTTCCCAATTTTGAACCAGTCTGTTGTTCCATGTCCAGTTCTAACTGTTGCTTCTTGACTTGCATACAGGTTTCTGAGGAGCCAGGTAAGGTGGTCTGTTCTTCCCATCTCTTGAAGCATTTTCCACTGTTTGTTGTGATCTACACAATCAAAGGCTTTAGCATGGTAAATGAAGCAGAAGTAGATGTTTTCTGGATTCCCTTGCCTTCTCTATGATTCCACAGATGTTGGCGATTTGATCTCCGGTTCCTCTGACTTTTCTAAACCCAATTTGTACATTTGTAACTTGAAGGATTTTGAGCATTTTTTCATTAGCACCTTGTTAAAATGAAATCAGGATCTAAAGGCCTTTAGGAGATGCCCTCAGTCTTCATTTTGCTATATGCCCCACCACTCCCCATTGCCCAAATGCTCTCAGACTTTGTTACCTGTCCAGCCTGCAGAGCCATCTGGCCCTGAGGCCCCTACACAGCAGCTCCCATCAGCTGCAGGGCCCTTAAGAAGACCTTTGTCTCATATCTGTGTCTCCAGTTCCCTTATGCACAGCCTGGCCCGTAATATGGCCCAGAAAATCTGCCAGGGAATGGTGCTTCTGCTTGCATTTTTCCCTGCCTGGGAGCTCACTCCTTCCAAGGCTGCCTGTTGTATTGTCTACTACCTGCCCCCACCCCCTCCTGCCCAGGCCCCAGTCATTCCCAGTGGGGACTGGGGGTGAAACTCCCTGCTTGGGGTGAGCAGCAGGTTAATTTCCTCCTGGAGCTTCCCTCGGCAAACAATGAGACAATGGCGAGCCGGAGGTGGCCTGCGTAAGACTGCCGTGGAGGGGAAGTTGTAATCTGTGCGTGAAGCCAGCGGGCGGGCAAAGGGGCGAGGAAAGCAGCCGGGGCCAGACCAGGCCCTCCACCCAGCCGGCCCCTGGGACCAACCTGAAGGTCACCTGAGTCGCCCTTGAGGAAAACAGCCACGAACCACCAGAGCGAGGAGAAAACACGGATGGGTGGGGCACGCCCCCACACCCCTTCCCTGTCCAGATGGTCCTAGTTCCTCTCTGCATAACCCCAACTGCCCACCTTCTGAGCCCTGCTGGCAGGGAGTCATCCCCAGACAGACACCATCTGAGTCTGGCTGTGCTCTGGCGGTGTGACCTTGGGGCGTGTTACTTAACCTCTCTGTGCTGTTGGTTCCTTATCTGTAAAAAAGAGAATAATACCACCTCCTTCCTCTGGTTGTCAAGAGGATTCCTCCATCATCCCATAGGCTTGTATTGAGCATCTGCTATGTGCAGACACTGTGTTGGACGCTGGGGCTACCACTGTGAACAAGACAGCGTCCCTGACCTCGTTAACTGCAGTCTTAACATGGAGATAGTCAATAACCGAGTAATCACACCATGAAATTACGACAGTGATAGGTGTTGCCAGAAGAGGAGGTGGCAACCTTAGGACCAAACAACATGAAACTCAATCTAGTTTGCAGGTAAAGATGGGCTTCCTCTAGGAAGAGGCAGTTAAAAACTGAGCTGAACAGGGCACAGAAGTTTACCTGGCCAAAGGGGGATGGGTGTAGGGATCAATGCAAGGCTTGGATACTGGAACAAAGTTGGCATCAATGAGGACGAACCAGGAGGCCTGTGCACCCATGCCAGGAGTCTGTCCTTCATCTGGAGGGCAACAGGAGGCCACTGAAAGTTGGAGTGGAAGGAAATCATTCCACTGGCTTTCAACTGATGCAGGACAGCACTTAGCACAGGACCCGGGCAGGTGGGGTCCCTTCTCCTCGACAGGCGGTCCTGTCCAGGCATGTCAGGCACAACAAACCACTGCTTTCCTACCCTTCCCATCATTGCGCCAGGGCGGGGTTTTGCTGTGTTCCCTCATGGCAGCTGAGGATCAGGGGAGAGGGAGGCTGACTGAGCATACCAGTGGGTCCAGCCCCCTCTGGGGGCGAGGGATGAGTCAGAAGGGCAACCTGAGACTGTAGAGGAGGACCCCCAGACTCCTCTGCATCTCAAGGTGGCTCTTTGCCCCTCTTCCCTCACCCTAGTGGCTCTCCTCAATCCAGCTCTGGTCTCAGAAAGGGAAAGCAGCTGCAGACAACTCAGGGGTATCCCCATCCAAGGTCATGACCCCACACATCCCTGGGAGTTGAGCAGCCTCATTCAAAGCCACACCCATGCTCACATTCAAAGCCAGCCTTGAGCTCTGCCCAAGCAAGTGGCTTCAGACTCACAGAAAGAGTAACTCCCACCCTGGGAAGCTGTTGCTACACCCTTCATGGTCCTTCTTCTTGGTCATCTGAGTGCTATGAGCCTCCCTTCTACCAAGGAGGAAACTGAGGCATGAGAGGGGGAGTTCCCTGCCCACACTCAGAGCCGGGAAGCAGCCTCGCCTGGTCTCAAAGCCCATGCTCTGAGGGCGCGTCTCCTGCAGCATCACCTACGCCACCCCCAACCCCTGTGGGTTATTTTGCAGACATGTCACTGCACATGTCAGAGCTCTTGGTGGTTTCCCATGAATGAAGCCAAGGCCCTTTCTGGGCTACAAGCCCCCACCTCTCTCTCAGCATGGCTTCCCCCTCCTTCCCTCACCTGCACCCACCTCTGAGCCTTAGGAGCCCACCGCCCCCTCTGCAGCCTAGCCCACTTCATTCATGCCTCAGCTCTCCGGTCCCCCAGCAGAGGCTCTCCCCCAGCCCTCACACCCTGCTTCACTCTTCCCCATCTCCTCTTGACTTTATAGGGACTTTTGTCTGTGGATTGAGCCTTGGTCTCTTGTGCTCACTGCTGTGTGCCAGTGCTTGGCACAATGGTAAGTGCTCAACAAGTTATTTGTCTCATGAACGAATGAAGGAGGATGGAGGATCTTCATCCCACCCCTGCCCCAGTGTATCCCCCAAACCTGCCTCCCCAACACCCCCCAACACCTCACTTGCTCGTGCTGAGTTTTATCCCCTCACTGGACCATCCACAGGCCTTGGCAGGTCCTGGTCACAGGCCCCAGACTAAGGCGTGAGGAGACCAGAGCCCAGCAGGAACCTGTGGCTTGTCCAAGGTCACAGAGCCCCAAAGGTCACAGAGTCACAGTTGCCTGAAGGGGTGTCTTGTAGTGGCCCATCACAGGAGTAGGCACCTCTTCTAGGAGCGTCCAATGGAATGGGAATCCTGAGGCTCCAGCTCACCCCCTTTTTCCAGAGAAACCAGTTATGTTTGGGGGGCGGGGTGGTGTTCTGCTGCCAGCAGCTTTCCTCCTCCCAGCGCTGGGACTCCAGCTCCGAGTGTTCCAGGAAATCCAGGCCGCATTTCCCTCCAGGAGCCGCCGCCCAAAGGGACCCTCTGGGGAGAGACAGAGCATTTTTGAGGAAAAGGGGGGTGAGGGTTGGGGGTGTGGGAGAAAGAGTCACCAAAAAAAAAAAAAATTAGTGGCTGGGCCAGGAATGTGCCTGGGTGAATTGGAGCCAAGCCTCCTGTCACATCCACAGCTGTGCTGGCCAGGGCGGGGTGCAGGGCGCAGGCGGGGCCGGGTCACTCTCCGGGCAGGACACCAGCTGCCAACCTGCTCCTGCTGGACTCCCTGCCACCAGCCTGGTGGGGGAGGAGCCAGGCAAGCATCTGGGCCAGGGGTCAGGACCCGGGGCTCTGTCACCCTAGCCCACTTGCCAGCCGGGGGGCCTCAGTTTCCCCCTCTGTGCAATGATGGGATTTGGAGAAACGCTGAGACAGGGTGACTTTTCAATCAGAGATGGGGGTGAATAAAGTGAGGGCAGCCACATTCTGTGGCAGAGGTTCTGCACCTGGGCTCCAGGACTCAGGGACTTGAGAGCTTGGATAGGAATGAAATAAAAACTGTACAGTCACCAACCTCTAACTGAAATTCAGCGTTCCCTTCAAGTATGAATGGGGACAACGAGCCCCGGAAGGGTCAGCAGTGACCCTGCCACAACAGAAGTTGGAGACACTTGTCTGACATCATCACAGTGCATGTAGACACCCCCACACACATATTGTTTAAGCTCATCAAGACCCCAAACCAGCCTGCGCACCTTTAACTTAATGTCGTTATAAAGAGGCTCTTCTGTTACTACATCGCGAATTCTTGCTGCTGTTGCAGTCATGGCATCTCAGTATGACTGACTTCCTTTGTAACTCTATGCACTTTATTTTATGTGGCTAAAAACCATAATTGTGATAAGGGGTCCATCCTACCACCAGATGCCAAAGGGGTCCATAGGACAAAAAGCTAAAAATCCCTGCTTTACATGCAGCCATTTTTGGTTGTAAGTGGGGAGGTACTCTGTATGCTGACTTGGAACAATGTCAAAACACTGTGCTAAGTGCAATACAAAAAGCAGGATGCATCAGTGTCCGTGTAAAAACAAGCTGGGTACCTACATTTGCTTGATGTGCAAGGAGGCCCAAACTGGAAACAGTGGTCGTCTCCAGGGTCCCAAGGAGATCCGTCGCTCAACACCTCGAGTACTGATTTTTCCCCCTGTGCATAAAAATTCAGAAAGAAAAAAAAAAATTCAGAAAGAGTCAGGCTTCTAGGAAGATGACTGTGACTTTGGTGGAAACGTAGTTTTTGAATCTTTCCAAATCCCCACATCAAAACAGGTGAAGCAACTAGTTAGCAAACCAAAACCCCACCTCCCAGATTTACATCCAAACCAGGTGACAAGCCGTCCCTACAAATCCCCAAATACAAGTGGATGGAGATCAACCTGCACAGGATCAGGGTCCTCATGGGAGAACACTCACACTGTATTTGTCTCCAGGGATATATGACTTTTAATAATAAAGTCTCAGTCACTGCCCCGGGGCCCAGGATTAGTGGGAGACACAGTTAATCACAGAAGGACATATAAAATTGCAACTGTGGCCAGAGTAAGTCTAAGAGTTCCAGATCCTGAAAGTATACAACAGAACCCATGTCAAACAAATCATGGTTGAGAAAAAAGGACAAAGCAAAAAAGAAGAAAGAAAGAAAGAAAGAGCCCGGTAGACAGACAGACACACAGATAACCCCCTCTTTGCAGACCCAGCTCAGTGGCCAGGAGACAGAGCGGGCAGCGTCCACCCATGCCTGCTCCAGGGAAACTTCCCAGCCCCCAGCCCAAGCCTCAACACCCACCGCCCAGCGTCTTCCTTTGCGATGAATCATGTGTTTGTGGACTGAAGACAAGGTGATCTAGCCAGGAAGTCTGCAGAGTCATTAGCATGGAAGCAGCCCCTCAGAGCGGAAAAAACACAGACCTCAGAAGCTGGAGACGTGGGTTCGAGTCCCAGCTTGGCCACATAATCCACAGCGTGCCCTCACACAGACCTTGGAGGTACAGAGAGCGCATATCTCCCAGGTCTCACACGCACATCTTAGACGCCACCAGACTCCCAGGTGGGCTCTCCTGCACCTCAGCTCCTCTGCGCAGAGGGAAATGGGAGGCCCTTGGTAGCCACTGGACTGTCGCTCACAGGGACGAGGATGAAGGCCTGTGCCCTCTCGCCTTAGGCTTTCCAGATACTCAGGTGGCACCAACAGAGCCCTGCAGACCCAGCCGCACTTCTGTCTACTCTCAAGAGCAACTCCAGCAGGTAGGTGTCCTCATCCCCATTTGACAGATGAGAAAACTGAGGCCCAGAGAGGGGAAGAAGGTGACCTGAGGTCACGCAGCCCTATTGTGCTTTGACCCTGGTTACTCGATGGGTGCACCTCACCCCCCTCCCCGGGGACAACGAGTCTGTCCTGGCAACTCTGGCCCCACGCCCAGTCTGGAAGCCCGCTCAGGGGTGCGGCTGTCTCCCTGTGAACAAGACTATTTTTAGCATCAGCAGCAGGGGCCAGGGGCCAAAGCCAGGAGTGACAATGGGGGGAAGGGGGTGGGGCTGCTGGCGGCCGCCCCCGCACCCAGCAGCCGCCCCATTTCCTCGAGGAACCAGGCTGTGCACAATACAAGGAAAGCCGAGTGGGGAGCGGCTGGGGGCTCCCGTGGGGGGGCTGACCTGGCCCATCAGGGCAGCTGGGGGACTGGAGGAGGCCTCTGGACCAGGGGGGAAATGGACCGTTAGTCCAGCTGCCTGGCCTGGGCAGAGATGATCTCTCATGCTTTATACACACACACACACACACATTCATTCTCTCTCTCACACACACCTCAATCTGTCTCTCACACTCAGGCTCATTCTGTGTTTCTTTCTCTCACATGTACTCACCCATACACATGCGCACACGTGCGCACACACACATGTACACACACAGGTCTTTTCCTAACTCCTACAGTCTCACTTCCAGCCTCAGAGGCAGAGAACTGGGGCCCTGGGGACTCAATGAGGTGATTCTCACAAAGGAGCTAATCCTCCCCAACCAGGAGCTGATCTGGGGTCCAGGTGAGAAATGCCATCATGAGCACCCCAGACCCTCTGCCAGGCTGTGGCTTCTCGGGGAGGGGTGTCCCTGCTGGGGAGGGTCCTAGGCTGGGGCCCCCAGTCAAGGGGGAGCCGTGTGACAGGAGCAGGAAGGTGGCTCCCTCCAGCCTGGCAGCAAGGGCTCCTTCCTTGGCCTCTACACAGGGGGCTCCAGTGCTGCTGGGCAAGGTCCCTGAACCGAATTTGACATCTGAAGTTCTCACGGGTCTTCCCATGGCCCGGGGCAAGTGCCTCCGGTTCCCTGCCCCTGCACTGTCATCCATCCCACCTCCACACCCTGGCTTATGCCACGCCCCTGACAGGGGTGCCTTCCTGGTCTCCCCATTCTCCTGCCACCATTAAAGCTCTGAGAGCAAAGACAGCGACATTCTTATCTGCCACCATCACACCTCCAGAACCAAGTACAGTGCCGGGCACACAGCTGGGGTGCAATAAACACCTGTCGAATAAAACCCTTGCCTCCTGCTGGGGGCCTCCTCTCCCCTCACCAAGGCCAGAGTTATCTCACTGGACCTTCTCCACTGCCCAATGAGGCAGACACATCCATCCCCACCTCGGGCAGGAGAAAACAGACTAGGAGGGGAGGCAGCTTGCTGAAGATCACACGACAGATAGTAGCCTAGGCAGAACTCAGTCTGGAACTGGGATCCCAGGCTGTGTCCTCACAAGCCCACACCTGCCCCCGGCCATCAGCTTTCAATCTGGAATTGATGTGGTCTAAGTGCCATCACAGTCCAGCTGCCAGATGAAAGTGACGAGGGGACAGGGTAGATGGGATGGAGTTCCAGATGTATGTCAGAGATGGGACCAGCAGGACAAGACGCAGGGGTGAGGTGGGAGGAGTCAAGGCGGTCCCTCCTTGGTGTTAGGCCTGAGCAGCGGCATGAAGGGTGGCCCTTTACTGACAGAGAGAGTTGCAGAAGCAACAGTGGTGGGCACATTGATGGGCAAGCAGATACCAGGATCTTGAGCTCAGGAGAGAGCCTGGATTCACATGTCAGATTTTTTTTTTTTTTTTTGGTTGTTTCCCACAGTTTGTGGGATCTTAGTTCCCTGAGCAGGGATTTAGCCTATGCCCCTGGCAGTGAAAGCACAGAGTCCTAACCACAGGACCACCAGGGGATTGCCTACATGTTAGATCTACATTTAAGGGTCATCAGGGCATGGGTAGGCTAAAGCCGCGGGGCTGGGTGACATTACCTGGGAGTGAGTCCACAGAGGAGAGAAGATGGCAGAATTTTACTATGAGAGTAATCAACGCTGGCATGAGTGAGGTTCCTCTGCCCCAAGATTTCAGGTCTTTGTTCAAATCTCACTTCAGAGAGGCCCTCCCTGACTACCCTCATAAAACAGCTCTGCTCACCTCTCGGGCTTTACAGCCTGACCTGATATTATTGCACACTGATTTGTTTTCCGTGTCTTGTCTGTCTCCTCGTGAGATTGGGGGCTCCTTGAATTGGAACTTGGTGTCTCCTCAGAGGGACTTAGTTTCCTGCTAGGAGGAGCCCAGGAGCCACCGGGCACACGGTGAGCCCTTCACAGGTGTTTGTTGAATGAATGAAAGAATGCCCTGGACAGTGCCCATCTGGTCACTCAGTTGCGCTCAGCGTGTGTGAGCCACTGAGGCCGGGGACTCTGGGCTCACCCTGGTGGCACCAGCAGTGCGCAGCACAGGAGTGAAGGTGGCATCTGTTGAGGGTCCCTCCACAGGGTCCCATCTGTGGAGTCTGGAGTGGCAGGGGTCCAGAACCCTGGGCCAAGGGCCTGGCCTGTCCCCAGCCCACCCCTTCCACTCTCCCCTGAGACTCCGGACTCTGCTTCCTCTCTTGCAGCTGTATCTTCCGCCTCCCAGCCTCTTCCTTTCCTCTTCATCTGGGCCCCTAGCTACATCTCCTCAGGACTTTATCTTCCCTTCAGCTGCTCTGGAGGAACAGAGGCCCTCCCTACATCCTTTCCTTCCCTGCCTCCCTGGCCTGCGCCCTAAAGCCTCCCCCTCAGGCTCAGCGCCCCAGCCATCCTCTCTTCTCCCCTCCAGCCACTTCCAGCAGGTACAGTGGGGTGCAAGGCCAGACAGGAGTGGCCAGAGAAGCCTTAGGGTCCTTCCAAAGGCCGCTGAGCCTCCAACTTGCTGCGTGGTCTCTCCACTCAAAGGGCCAGCTCAGAAACTCAGCTGTCTGTGCTCCAGTCCTCAGTCTGCCACTTGTTACCTGTGTAGTTTTAGGCAAGTCACTTAGCCCTCCTGTGCCTCATTCTTCTCAGGTGAAAAATGAGGGTCAAGACACCCACCTACTTCACCTGGAAGAGTAAAATATAAAGCCTGTCAGGCCTTTAACAGAATGCTTGACACAGAGAGTTTGTCTTAACACAAGGGCGTGATGCCACTGTGTGGAAGTCTTTGTAAAACTGCAAAGCCCTAAATGACCCTTGGCTGTGTATTTGTGCCATGTTTCTGACCCAACAAACCCAAAACTCTGAAGGAGGACCTCCTAGTGGCCCCTAATCTATCCCAGATGTTCTCTACCATCATTATCCTAATCAGTACATGATCAATAACCTCCTCAGGCTTTAGAAAGGCCACAGACAAGGGTTGAGGTTCCAGAGAACACCCTAGAATAGCACCCCTCCAGCTAAGCCCACTGTCAGCAGAAGCCTCACAATAACCCAAAACAGGGAAGAGTCATTATTACTCCATTTTACAGATCCGGATGCTGGAGCTCAGAGAACTTCCAGCTCCCTGACCCCAAAGCCAGGCTCCATTGCTGTCCCCAGCTCACTGACTGGAGTCTCCGCCCAGCAGTCCACACCTGCGCTCAACCTGGGGACTCCTTTGAGCTCCCCAACACTCCTGCTCAGCAGCTTCTCCCTCCCATTTTCACCAGGTACTTGCCTCTCCTTCCAGGATCCTTATGCCAGTCAGCCCGGGAACATGCTAAGAAGCTTCAGTCATGTCCTACTCTTTGCGACCCCATGGACTGTGGCCCACCAGACTCCTCTGTCCATGGATTTCCCAGGCAAGAATACTGGAGTGAGTCGTCATTTCCTACTCTAGGGGATCTTCCCAACCCCGGGATA